AAATAAATAAATAAATAAATAAATAAATAAATAAATAAATAGTATCTAAGTAGTCTTCAAAAAGCAACTCCATGTAGAATCCATTGCAGAAGCATAACTATATGGCAGTAAGGTCATGATTCACTGTTGGTCTTCCTGCTCCAAGAAGGGCCACAACTAGGGCATGGCATAGAATTGGATAAAGGCCCTTTAGACTGTCGCCTCCATCAGTCCATCTAGCAGTGACTGAATCCAGGAGGACCCTGAGATAACAAACTTATATCCTTAGGAGCAGTACTTTCTCCTCCCAGAAATAACACTGGGCTGACTGCAAACTGAAATTTATCTTGTCAGAATTCAGTTTCAGCTGTATTGTCCCATGAAGACCCCAGCAGCCTCCAGAGACACTAGGACAAGATGTCAATAGCATCACCAGCTAGGGCCAGGGTAGCCAAATATGCTGAGCATCATTGATATATTGATGATAGCGCATCCTAAACAGCTAGATGACCTCTTCCAGCAGCTTCATCTAATTTAAATAGAAAGGGGGAGAGTACCAATAAAGATAGAACCACACAAGAAAGGGGTTCCTTTGTCACTGACGAGAACCATCCACTGAGGTAGGAATGGAACTATCTCAAAACAGCCTGCAATTCCCAACAATGCCTCCAATCACAAACTGCAGCAGGCAGTCTATGGCTGATGGTATCAAAAGCCACTGAGAGGTCTAATAAGATCAGGAAGGGGTATTGCCCCCACTGAGGTCCCAATAAAAGTAATCTACTAAAATGACCAAGTTGGTTTATGTCCCATGTCCATGCCTGAACACTAACTGAAAAGGGTCCAGAAAATGTGCTTTCTATACAGCCCTACCACATACTCAACAATCTTCTTAATAGTTAGCTTCATTAATGGGGTTTATTTCTAAAGTGTGGACCAATGAGCTGCTGTTTTTCATTTCAGTAGATCTAGGCTGCACAAATCTAAATGAACACTACAGTAGATGAAAGCAAAAGTTACTTTTTTAATCTCTTGCTTCCATCTAGTGGTCATCCTTGATTTTTAAAGCTCAGATTTGGTAGCTTTATGTAGCTTAACTGACTGTACCTGCCAAATTCCCTCTGATACACAGCAGTGGAAAAAACACAGGAGGTCTGTCCTTTATTGCACAGCCTTCAAAATAAGGACACAGCATAATTTAGCCATAAGCAACAGTGACAGATACTTATGTGACTGTATAAACAACTGTTGAGTCTGTCTTCATGGAAAATTTACTTCTGTTGTTCAGGATGCCAAGTATTCTTAATATGAAAGAATGCTACTTCAATGGATGGGAGGCCTGTATAACTGGACAAAATTTTGGAATCCCAGGATTCTCTGGGCAAACAACTAGACTATAATGTGTTGTCATCTTCCTGTAGTATTCTTCACATCAGTGTTTCTTAACCTTGGCAACTTTAAGGTGGGTGGACTTCAACTCCCAGAATTCCCTAGCCAGCCATGTTGGCTGGGGAATTCTGGAAGTTGAAGTCCATCCATCTTAAAGTTGCCAAAGTTGAGAAACACTGCTGTACATAATCAAGATTGCTATCAGCAAGAAGTAGGAATACTCTAGAAGAGTTTATGGTTTTGCTTGCAGAATTTTACATTGCAGAAGTATAAAAACTGAATGGCAAATCCCGTAACTGCAGAACTGCTTTCACAAACAGCATTATCTTAGCATGACTCAAGCAAGAAAATTAGATTGCAGCAATGCATGCAACACATACTTAGTTCTCAAGGCTGGAAATACAGATTTCTGCCTGAAAGATATCCCTAATTATATTTCCTTCCCGTCTAATATTCAGCTGACTCACAGCTGTTTTTGATTGGGGAACATTTTCTATTCATCAAACTTTGTCTTGAATATGTAAGGTTGAACTACAGACTATTTAGAAATTAAAAACATTAATTTTATAGTTTTTAATAAACTTTGAATTGGATTTATAGGATAACATACAGTCAGACTAAAGTCCTAAATTTATTTGCTGGAAAGCAACTCCATTGAATTACATAGTAAGTTGTTCCTGATCAGGAGTGGAGAACTATAGCTGTCCCAGTCAGGGAAGGACAAGCTAGTGTCCTTCAGATTTTTGAAGTTCAGTTCTGTCAACCTTGGCCAGTGTATCACTTAGCAGGCAGAGTGTAAATTATAGTTCCTCTGGAAAGCCAAAGCGTTTTCCATCCTGCTCTGAACATCTGAGTATATTTACTTCTGTCAAATTGCAGAAAGAACAAAGTAGTATCATTTCTCAGCTTTTGGGCTAAGATAAAGTGTATTATTTTAACACTTCACTTGAACGGTTTAGTGGCTGCCAAGAGCTTCAGTGCACAATACAGAGGATGAGGCAGCGGTGGTAATTATTTTGATTGAAGTTGAAGGACACTTTCCTCCCAAAGCAGCTACTTTGTTTAGATGCACTGGAAGACACTATTCTAAAACAAGTATTAACTGAGATCAATCGCCATGGGTCAAGTTTTGTTAATTTCTGAATGAATGTATGAACTGGAGCAGCATCTTTCTGGGTTGGTCTTGGTGCTGTTGCATTTTGCCAACTTCCAGGTGCAGTGTACCAACACAGTAAGACACGGTCCCATCTTATCCTTCCTTGTTCAATCATGAGGTCATTTTGGTCACATTTCTCTGTTTTAGAGGTCCTGGGAAAGCAAAATGTGTTCTCATACCTGTTACAATAATTGGAAGAAAGTAGTTTGTGGGATCTGATAGGCTAACACATTTTAGACTGCAAACCTATAGTTATTTGGGAATAACTCGGAGGAACCCAATAGATTTGCTTTGAATAAAGTGCCACAGGAGAGAGGCATCTGAGAAATTACATCAAGAAAATGTTTTCGGAAAGATTAAATAAATGCACTTCTATAGGAATGCTTCCCAAACTTATTCATAGGCTGTGGCCATGCAACATGCTAACCCAGTTGGCTGAACTAATCCAGATGTCTGGGGTTGCACTACATTGATATATTAAGTAACTGAGCTGAATTTGCACAACACTGGGGAGTCAACTCTATTTTAACCTACCATGTTATGTGAACATGGCCATAGGATAGGGCTATAACGTTATGCCTGAGCTTTCTGTTTTAATTAAAATTAGTAATCCAATGAGGTGGATCTTTAAATTCGGTGGATTTAGCAGCGCATATATTAAAATGAGAATGTTTTCCTTTAAATTAAAGCGCTGTCTACTCGGAAGTAAGTCCCAGTGATTTCATTAGGATTTGTCTCCAGTAAATGGGTACAGGATCGATTCTTCCATCAACTAAAAAAATCGAGCCAAACCGAGGTTCATTATTCTGCTTTCGGTTCAGGTTAAACTCGACCGAGGAAACCTTCAAAGCCCTTCCCCGCGCGGTCACGCCGTGAAAACCACAAGGTACGACTACATAAGAGAAAAAACCACCCGCTCACAGAGATGGGGGCGTGTCTTAATAGCGTAGCAACGATGACGCAAGCGCACGTCGACCGACAAGGTGAACTCCGCGTCTCCGGCTCAAGGGCTTTGCCGTCTTTACTGCGCACGCGCCCCTCCTTTTCCTGGCCGCTAGAGCTGAGAGTGGTTGACCCGGGAGGTCGTCCCTGCCTGCCTTGGTGACGCAGATGCTGACGTCTCCGGGGGCATTCTTATCTTCATTTCGCGGGAAGCTCCACCTTTTCCTTCTGGGCCGAGAAGCCGGCGCCTTCCGTCGAGCCGCCATCGCCGCCGCAAGATGAAGATCTGGAGCTCAGAACACGAATTCGGGTAAGAGAGAGCAGAAGTGGCGCTTTTCCTGTTTGCCCGGTCGGGCCCTGGGCGCGTTCTGCCTGGGCAGGAACGTAGAGGGAATGCTAACACGGGGTCCTCTCTGGCCTGGTCTGCTGAAGATCTCCAGCTTTTCCCAGCTTGGTACCTTCCCGTCCCTTTAATTCCCAATGGGGGAAGGCGGAAGTGATTCACTCTAGCTACGTTAATTAAATCGCGGTTTATTCGTTGGAATACGCAATGTGATAATCCATAAACCACGATTTACAAACCATCCCACCTGGATCCCCGGAGCGCTCTCGGATACAAACAGGCAGCCTCATTTTGATGTAAGGTGTTGTGTGAACGCAGCATGTAACCCATAGCCTGTTCGGTAGTGCCAGGCAAATCCCTTCCCTGTAACTTCTCCGCCTGGTTGCCTCGCCGACCTCACAGTCGTGGTGCCGAAGACTTAGGTGGAAAGTGGGAAGAGCTTCAAAAGTTGTGGAGTATTGGTGGTGAGTGCAGGCACACTCATTTTGATTCATTTAAGGTATTAACGCAGCGCTTACAGTAACTGGGTCTTTTTCCCCAGTGTTCCCTTTCTCTCCTTATGGCAGAGCAAAATAGTTCTTGACTTGTCCTCTAACGGTAAGGAGGGATCTCTGCTAGGATGCTGGAAGGCCATCAAGTTGGTGTTTTCTTCCTCTATAGCAGTGTTTCTCAACCTTAGCCATTTTAAGATGGGTGGACTTCAACTCCCAGAATTCCCCATCCCGCCCCTCTTGCCTGGGGAGTTTTTGGGGTTTAGGCTGGCCCCCCCAAAATAACCTCAAGATGGACAAAATCCCTTAGAAAAACTTCTGATCGCG